CTCACACTCTCTCACACTCACACTCTCTCACACTCACACTCACACACACCCACACCCACCCACACACACACACACAAACACTCACAGTAGAATACAGCACATCAGCATCAATACCGCTATCAAAACTACAACTTTTCGAAACTACTCAACTGCTCATTGAAATAAAGCTTCATAAAAAAATAAAATGGAAACACTAGGTGAAAAACTACAATTGGAAAACTAAAACTGAACTAAAAAACAAACAAACATTAAACTGATTAAAGTTAATTGATTTAAAAAAATGGCAAAAGCACACACCTAAATTACTAAAACTTTAACTAAAATTTAAATAAAAACTGAAATTATAAAAAAAAGCTAATGAAAAAAAAATGAATAAAACTAAGTATATAAATAATATTAAAATAGCACTAATTAAAACAGTATCCAAAACAAATTTGTTCAAATTTGTTCATTGAAATAAAGCCGAAACAAAACAAAACATAAACCTCGTGGGCAGTGCGCCGACATACAGCGGCGTCCCGAGTTCGAATCCTGGCTCACGGACCTTTCCGGATCCCGCTCCCTCTCTCTCCCACTTCTCTTCCTGTCAGATCTAGACTGTCCTATCGTAATAAAGGCAAAAATGCCAAAAATAAATCTTAAATTTTTTACAATTAAATTTCAATTCTAAATATCAATAAAAATTATAATAAAATAATACTATTTAACAGTTTAAACAGTATCTGGGTTATTCTAAAACTAAAACAACTAAATAAATTTGTATTAATAGAAATAAAGCTGAAATAATATATAAATATTAAAAGAAAAACAGAAAGTTGAAGCACTTAAATTACTAACTGAAAAACTAAAACAGAAACAAAACCTAAATAATAGTATTAAAAACTTAAAGTGATTAAAAATGGCAAACGTATATAACAAATTTACTAAAAATAAAATAAAAAGTCAAACTATAAAATAAAAACGAATTCAAACTATTAAAATCAACTGTAATAGAATAAAAATAATAATAAAAAACACTTGTACATATATAGTTAAAACAGCATCAGGTTTATTATGTTTTACTAAAACTAAAACAATTAAAAATAAATTGAAAAGCAATAAAGCTGAAATTAAATAAAATATTAATGAAATAAAACAGAAATATTAGGTGAAAATAGCTAATTAGAAAATGAAATTTGAAAGTTTAAGTTGACGCAATAAAATTTCTAACAGCAATAAAATTAAACCTAGTTAGTAATAAAAAATCATTAATAATTATTTGAATTATTTAAAATAATTAAGTAATTAATTATAATAGGCAATTAATAATAAAGTAATTAATAAGTATTTACTAATAAATGTTAATGTAAGTTTGTATAAAATCACAACTGAAAATATAAAAACTCCTCGATTAAAGCTGCACTGTACGAGAAAGGAAGAATAAAGGACGCACAGGTTCACTGTATCGAGGTCAGGGGTTCGCCGGGGTCGAGCACTGTAAACATTTGCTCTCTCTGTGCTGGAAAGAGCAAACGGTGCATTGTGGGACGGCGGTCGCTCTGTGCCAGTCTCCACCGAGACCCCATTGTGTGTGAGTGGGAGAGAGAGAGAGAGAGAGAGAGAGAGAGAGAGACAATACTCCTTCAGTTCCTGCACTGCTGTGGCCTTGGGTGAATGATAAACACACACACGCTTGAAGAAACAGCAGAGAGCAGAAGCGCGGTCGACTGGACAGACTGAAGGAGGGACGGAGGTCAGAGAGAGAATGAAGGCGGATCACAGGTAGATCAGTATCCCTGCCTAAACCGACTGAAGAATTCACCCGCGGGACGTCCAGCACTCAACAAACACTGGGGTGTCCACAATACAAATCACAATCAATTCAGAAATTTCAAATATAAAATATAATTTCATTAACAAAAGTGATAAAAAAATAAAATAACATACATACATATATATATATACACACAGTCAGGTCCATATACATTTAGACACAGGCACAATTGTTATTATTTTAGCTGCTGAGTGCTGACCAAAACATATTCAAGTTACAGTTATATAATGATTATGGTCTTAAAGTGCACACTGTGAGCTTTAATTTGAGGGTATTCTCATCAAAATTGGAGGAAATTAAATAATATATAAATAATACATTATATATTAAATAATATCATCCTCACTAATCATATTAATATTATTATTGTTTTTATTATATATATATAACTCAAAGTTATAAAAGCTATATAAAGCTTGTCTCTTTAATTATTTAAGAATCTGGTGAAAGGCCATTTAAATGACAAAACAATAGACACGTTTGTTTGAGACTGAATGGCTTCCCACATTAATTTTCCTTCTCCAAACACACACACACACACACACACACACACACACACACACACACAAGCTGCCTGTGTGAGTGCCTGAGCATTCCTTACATATACAACCTACACACACACACACACACTCATGTTTGCTTGGCTATCTTAGTGAGGACACTCCATAGACTTCCACTGATTTTCTATCAGGTTAATGATATTTTCTATCAGCGAACCCAAACCCTAACCCTAACAACCATCTGCAGAACACTAGATTTACATCAACAACATCTTCTGGCTGATTTACAAGTCTTTCTAACTACTGAGGACCAGTCAAGTGTCTCACTAGTGCGTTATCAAAGTATTTCACAATATTAATCAGGACATTTGGTCCTCACAAGTACACACACACACACACACACACACACACAAGCTGTAATGAGGTTTATATCAGAGGTCAGAGAGTTTGCGCAGCGCTGACTGAATCTGTTCGTCTGACCCATAATACTGATCTGCGTCTCATAACAGCTGAGCTTCATTCTGGCTGGAGTCCAGATCTCACATCAGTCCGGCACAGACCGGATCAAACTACTGAAACACCAGCAAACCCATTCCTCAGTTCACATGCAGTTCAGAAACATTACTCACTTTAAATGAACTATAGTGATCTAAACAAAACTAAAACCATAATAAAGCATTGATTACTAGAAATACAATAAATGTGCAATAAAACAAACTATAAAAAAGTTCCCAAGGCAACATTTGTCATTTTTTATTTAGGTTGTCTAGATGTACTCATTTGACTAAAACTGGAGAAAAAAATCTTTATAAACAAAATAAATAAATAAATAAACACAAATGTATACAAAATCACACACCAAATTACTAAAAAATATGAAAAAAAAAAAAAAAACTAAAACACTTTAACATATTAATTATTATTAATATAATAAAAACGTTAAAAAAAAAGAAAAGAAAAAAAGCACATACATATTTGCTACCATTTTGCTAGGATATTGCTGTTGAATACCAACTGACATAATATATGATATTTTATGATGATGATAATAATAGTTTTTATTATTCATACATATTTAAAAAAATAATATATTTTTAATGATCATAATAATTATAATGATCATATATTTAAAAGTTAATTTTTATTTATGTATTTTAATAATATATAAATGCTAAATAATAATAATAATAATCGTAGTAGTAGTAGTAGTAGTAGTGTTTCTTTGCTGGAAAGTTCTGCTCAAACTAAACGAATGGGAGTAAGTTCTTCTCCGTTACTGCGGATGTGACTCATCATCCTCACATAAAGCAAGCCTTTCTCCAGCAGTAATGAAGCCGCACCTACAGCACGATCAGACGCGCATGGAAATACAGATCATAACTCGTATGGATGGCGTTTGTGGTGGGGTTTCCATGGCAACAATCAAATAGCATTTTCCATTGTCACCCGAGGGAACTCCTGCAGCAGGTTTCAGAGGATCGAGTTCAGGGAAACAAGAGTGATAAACCCTGATGACCGCCAGTGAGCAAACACGGATGCGGTCACCGTTCTGCACGCTTTGACGTAACTAACTATTTAAGGATCAACACACGGTTAACTGAAGTTCGGACGCGATCAGATGTCATCTGATCATAAAGACTGAGATATCCAATGACAAAAACACAATATAAGCATCAGGCTTCTGTCTGAAAAACGAGAAAAGAAGAAAAGCCAAATGTTCTAGAAAGGTTACAAATGTCTTAAAAGTGAGCCAAACACACTGATTCTGATGATAAATAAGAGCTGCTCCATTAATAGAAACGAAACCTGAAATCACGATTCGGCTTATCAAATCACAATCGCTGAGATTTTATTAAATAAAGGTCATTTAAGTATCTTTCCAAAATTGTAATAAGAAACACTTATGAAGCGACTGTCATTGACAAAGGAGAAGCTTTAAAAAAAGTAAAAATTGAAATGCAAAATACAATTATTATTACATTATTATTATTATTATTAAAGTATTATTTATTATTATTATTATTATTATTATTATTATTAATACAATAGTAATTTTTCTTATTTTGTTTAATATTTTTTATTAGTAATAAAAATCATAATGAAAACAACATTATTATTATTATTATATTTATAATAGCTATATTATTTAATATTATTTAATATTAATCCATGGCTAAAACAATAATAATAATAATACTGCTTTTAAAGTCATATTGATACTTAAATACCAATAAATAAATAAATAAATAATAATAATAACAGCAATTGCAATTTTGATCAGAAAACGTGTTTTAAATTTTTCTCTCCAAGTTGTAAAGAGAAGGATGGTGAGTAAAGGTCACAGTGTGAGTCTCACCTTACACTTCATCATGTCCTGGACGCGCTCGGACATGGACTGACCCGCCTTGGGCCGGACGAGGATGTAGAGGGCGTTGACGTCGGGACAGGAGCGCAGCAGCTTCTCCACTAGCACCTTCCCCATGAAGCCCGTGGCTCCAGTGATCAGCACGTTCTTCCCCGCGTACCACTCCGAGATCGAGGCCATGATGACGCTGCTCCTGCTGAACACTGACACACACAGAGATTCACCTGATTCCCAGTCAAAACACACGCAGCTTCCTCTGTCAGCGGGGGAATACAGCCCACTGCTTCCTCAGGACACAGTCTGACTCCTGGCCACTAATGAAGACTCACTGGACACTTTTGTAGTCTCTGCCCCTTGGATACTGTCTGCAAAGATGTTCAGAGGGAACTGTAATGTGTTGCCAAAAGGTTGCTAGGTGGTTTCTTAAAGGGGTCATATGATGCTGCTAAAAAGAACAGACCCCGGGCTGGACTCCGCTTCGTCCACGGTGAAAGCCGATCCGGCGATCGACAGCGTGAAGTTGAAGTATTTCCTCAGCGACCAGCACGCATTAGCTCTAGGCATGACGAAGCGATATTGTCCTCTTTTGGCAGCCGAACAAAGTAGTTTCGCTTTCACAACGAAACACACAGCGTCTTCACGACATGGCGGCGGCGGAAACAATACTACAGCGAGAATAAAAGTTACGCCTTCTTTCTTTGCGTGAACATTTGGGCGGCGTTATGCAAATCTTCCCACACAGTGACGTAGACATGTGGGGGCGTGTTAGAACGAGCCGTTTTAGGTAGGTGTGGCTGACTCTTAACTTTTATAAAGAATATCTCTTTGGATTTGAGACTTTAGTCTTTGCAACTTTACAGATATTTTTTATGCACCAAGAGCTTGTAACACTCCAAAGAGAAAGGAAAAATTGAAATCGCATCATATGACCCCTTTAATTCTTACTAGCGCTTAGAGGTGAAAATCATGCGTCTGATCACTGACGTAACTGCACACACACACACAGACACAGACACAGACACACACACACACACACAGACTGCTGTTTGTTTAACACTTGTATGAGAGATGGTTAGAGAGATCAGTGATGTTTGACTTGGCAAACACAGCTAATAAAGCACGAGTAGGCGCGTCTAGATGGATTAATTTGTCCTGGAGTCAGTGTTCATTCAGTTTCATCAATGAAAAGAAAGAGAAAATACAGCTTATATTCTCTCTCTGAGTATCTCCTGCCACTATTACAAGAATCAACAAGACAAGACAACATTACACAAGAATAACTGTCTTTGTCATATAATGCAATTATTATATGTAAGTAACGTAAAAATTTATTTTATATATTTTAAAAACTAAAGGTTTAATAATGAATATGTAATACTACTATATTAATATTACTAAATATTACAATATTAATATTATACATAATATTAAATATGCAATATAGGCTATATTACATTTTTCCCTCCATAACTAACAAAAATAATAAATATTCCATTATTTTTTAACTTCAGTTATGAGTATATCTAAAAATTATATATCTTATAATCCTACAATCAATCAGTTAATATATATATATAAATAATTGCATTATTTATTTCATAATAATAATTAATAAGAATAACAATGAATAGCGAATATATTATTATAATGATTATATAGTTACTATATTTTAATAAATAAATAAAACCACATAATAATGACAATTATTAATATTGATTATATAAACAAATACAATTTCCTTCCTACATAACTAATAAATGTTATTATTTTTAGCTAAAGTTATGGATGATAAATACAACCCTTAAAAGCCACCACTGTCAAAAAATCAGAACAAAATAAAGTAAATATGTTCAATAAAATATATACAATAATATAACTGAAACAAGAACGTAAACTATAGTGAAGCAGCAGTGTGTAGTGAAGGCAGTCTGCCGTAGGGGATTCCTCCGGACCGGTCGCTCTGCTTTTCAGTAAATCAAGCCCTGTGGCAGCGATATATGACTCATTACATTCTGTGCCAGCGGTTACATCACTGATACGAGCCTGCGCTTCAGACATATTCTCATCTGTCCTCTGTGATCTCCTCGTCACACGGGACACTGAAAACACGACTGACGGGAACGAGCGGCTGCAGGTCAGAGAGGATTAACACACACACACACATTCCTCTCCGGTCACAGGTGCTCCACACACTCAAAGACTGATGTCTGATAGAGCAGCAACAACTGAAAGCAAACTTTCTTATCAGAAAACCAATGGACTCTGAAGAAGTTTGTTGCGACTGCTTAAGTTTGAGTTAGTTCAGGTCAATTGCTTTCATTGGACAATATTACATAAATACATAATTTCACTGGAGGATATTATATAAATATATAAAAATATATAAAATAAAACGATATAAAATGCAATATAAATATACAAATAAATATACTATTTAAATATAAACAAATATACAAATAAATACATAAAACAACAAAACAACAAAAATATATAAATATACTATTTATTTAAATATAAATTAATATACTTAAGCATATATAAAAATAAACATGCATACATACATATATATATATATAGTTTTGGAATAAGGGAGTCTCTTCTGCTCACCAAGGCTGCATTTATTTGATCAAAAAATACAATAAAAATATAAAATGTTATTACAATTTAATATGTTGAAAATAGCTGATTATTATATAATTTTGTAGGAAACCGTAATACATCGTATTTTTCAGGATTCTTTGATGAACAGAAAGTTCAAAAGAACAGCATTTATTTGAAATAATCTTCTGTAACATTATAAATGTCTTTGTCACTTTTGATTATTTTAATGCATCCTTGATAAATAAAAGTACTCATTTATTTAAAAAAAAAAAGAAAAAAAGTTCTAGATAACAGTTTTGCACACTTCTGTGTTTTTACAGAGAAGTTGATGTTTTGAATAACAACTTCATCACATTTGATTTTTGGACCTCAGTTTGGAAAGTTGTAGAAGTAGATCAGTTCCTCCTAACCGCTTCTAAAGGTTTTCAGGTGTAAGGCGTGAGAGAGTCGCAGCAAACACAGTATCCTCTTTCCTGCTCGGATACAGCAGCTCTGATGCTCCAGACGCCTCGAGTTCACCCTGTTTTTGCATAAGGCACTATTTTGAAGAACTTTAGGCAAATGTGTATTTGGCAGCTTTCAATGTCACAGGGAGACTGAAAAGGAAATCGTTTGCTCTCTATATAAATATTTTTAATATTTGAATAAATTCATATTTTAATATTTGTTAAATAATAAAAATATACATTTTAATACAAATAATATTAATATAATATTATAAATATACACAATTTAAAATAAATTAATCTATTAACATAAAATGAATTTGTTACTAAACATTTGTGCGATTTTGCTCAAATTCCTTGAATTGCAATGCACTAAATTCATCTTCCTGTCATTCCAATACAACTCCTAGATGGGTGTGTGTGTGGCCGATTCCATTCAAATTCCACCTTGTGCATTTCAACGGAAGCCAATTCTTCAGCGCGCACACACACACACACACACACACACACACACACAGAGTCCTCAGCAGGATTACCACCACCCAGAAAGCAAACAGGTGACCCGTGGACCCTTAACACACACGAACACGGCTATAACTTACACGTCAACTACACCAGTGATTTATTATGCAGTGTCAGACACGAGCTATATTCCAGCTGCGATCTGATCCAGTCCTGATACAATACACCACAACAGAAGTCCGCTTTAATTTGGGCTTGAATTACAGGAAGTGTGGACAAGAGCAACATTATCTGCTTCAGCCTCGCTTCCAAGAATGAAGAAACAAACACGATGCAACCCAACGAACAATCACTCTCACCGGCCAAAAACACGTCTGCGGTTATAAAAAAACCACAGGAATCCACAGGAAACTATCTACCCAAACAGGAAGAGGGTTTCAGATCCATTGAGATACTTTACCATTCAGAAGTTTGGTTTCTCTGAAAGACGTTAATGCTCAGATGCATTAAACTGATCAAAAGTGACAGTAAAAGACATTTATAATGTCAAAAAAGATAAATGTTGTTTTTTAAGCTTTTTTTTAACAAATATAAAGCAGCACAACTGTTTTCAACACTGATAATAATCAGAAATGTTTATTGAGCAGTAAATCAGCATATTAGCATGATTGCTGAAGATCATGTGACACTGAAGACTGGAGTAATGCTGCTGAAAATTCAGTTTTGATCACAGGATTAAATTACATTTGAACAGATATTCAATGGAAAACAGTTATTCTAAATCGTAATAATATTTCACAATTTTACTGTATTTTTGATCAAATAAATGCAGCCTTGATGAGCAATGGAGTGGAAGATAATGCATGATGCAAGAACAGGAGAAAACAAAGACGAGAGAAACTTGTGAAGGGGAAATAAATGCAAATGTCCCATGAACCTGCAGGGTCAGATCAGAGGATTTCACCAGTAGCCTAAAGTGAATCGTGACACCTGTTACTGACCTGAGATCATCATTTTTAAATATGGAAATGGTATGAATTTGTTTTAACACAATATGATAACTCCGTGAACAATGAAAAAGCATTTTCGGTTTGAGAAGATGCCATTTTTGTCAATAAATCAATATTTAGGGTATTTTCGAATTCACTCGCAACACATTAAATGTATATGATGATCTATAGCAAAAATTACAATTAAATTCATATAATATTTTTTTGTTTTATTTTTCTAAATGCAGAGAAAAAGTGGGGTTAAGAATATCAAAAAATACATTTGGACAAATCTTTTCAAAGTTTTACATGAGAACAAAGTCAAAATAAAGGAAACAATGTTTCACCAAGTATACCACATAATGAACAAATCAATAGCAAAATGACTGACTGTTAGAATTTTATCACGCTCCAGCATGTGACTTTTGGAGGGAAACTGCAAGTAAGCAAAAAGCAGCAATGGATTTGATTGACTAAAGTCTGATATACATTTTTAGTAATAAATTTCAACACAAACATTCATTTTTCATAAGTTCAAGAGTTCAAAAGGTTCTGAGCTAATACTACTCATAGTAGGCATGTTGATTTACTGCCATTAGTCACATTACAGATATTGAGTGTGTGTGTGTGTGTGTTCATTGATTTGCCCTACATCAGCTGAACATCCTCTGGGAGCAGATTGCTAACAACATCATTAGCTAATGCATCACTCCAACACTCACTGCTCCATGTACATGAAGAGACGGCTAATAATGGCATCTCATTAGAACAACATGCTTTAAACTCAAGCGCAATAAATCCACTATTATCAGAGGGGTTTGCTCTTACTGACGGTCATATTCCAGCTGATTTACTGCCCAGAACTCT